TTCAATTACATGATGTGCATATTCACATCAACACAATGACAAAAATTCATTTCAAATTAATATGAATATAATAATAGTCAACATCTCGATGCATGTGAACTACCAAAATATAATGACAATCAATATTAAATATCAACATTAATAGGGATAGGAAAGATTGAAGGTGTTTTGGTCTTTTTACCTCAAATAAGATCTAATGAATTAGTCAAAAAAAAAAAATATGAATTAGATGAAATAAAATTCTTAAAAAGAAAATTTATCAAAAAAGCTTTTAATCCCTACTTTCATTTCGCTACACACACCAAAAAAATAAAATAAAATAAAAAATAAAAAATTTACGTGAGATTGGAATAGAATGATTATTTTACTGAAATACTTATTTTATAGTTCAGTCAAAAGGAAAAGAATATACATTACAAATAAAATTATTTTCTTTTTCTGCTTTTTTTTGTCAAGTACATTATTTAGATAACCATTTTAGCGGTGTTATACCGCTATAGTAATCATTACTTGGTTCTTTTCTGCATTTGTATTCAGTAAGCCCTTTTTGATTCCAAGATATAAAAGGTGCGAGTAGATATTATATTTTGTGGGATTTATATATCTTATGTTTCTAATTTTTTTTTAAAGAAGATGTATGATATACTATGAGATTGTATATCTTTCAAAAATGGAGAATATATAATATCACCACCTCTCATTATATCATATCCCCTTGGTTGGGATATGATTTAAAAAGTCCAATTTACCCTTTTGTCTATCTAACATAATATAATTTAATGTATTTTTTGAATTTAATATAATATAATTATTGAATTGAATTTAATATAATATAACATTATTGAATTTAATTTAATATAATATTATTTAATATAAAATTTGAATATAATATAATATAATATAATATTATGAGGGCAATCTTGGAAATTACTTGTTTATATTCCACAATATATTTTGTAAAACAAACATGAATAACATATATTCAATCTAATATATCAAGTCAACAAATATGAATTGAGAGATATATTATCCAATATTTATATCCTATTCATTATATATCTTGACTAAATCCCACATTATATTATATCTTCTATTTTATATCTAGTGAAACAAATAAGACCTAAGTAACTACTATAAGAAAAGATTTTTTTTTTTGACAATCATGAATTCATTTCCTTCTCATATTTTCAAACCAACAAAAAAGGGAAAATTTTACTTATTTATTTTCTCACAATTTTCCTTGCTTTTCTTTTTTTTTTCTAAATATTTCAAAAAATATAATATCCAAACATGATGTTAATTTACTAGTTTGGTTTCCCAGTGAGTTGCACCAAAAGGAATCTTCCATTTGTATGAAAATTCATTTCATTTTTCTTGGAAATACTGTAAACAATTGAGAGTGCCTAAAATATATCAGGAAAATATTTGAAACCCTCACAAAGGAAGACTCTCATAAAGGAGGACCTCCACGATCTTCATTGATATATTGACCATTGATGTGTTTGAATTTTTTTTGAAGAATTGTATTTGATAGTTAGGGATGGCAATTTGAAACCGACCCGACGGGGATCCCCGACCCCGACCCCGATTTGAGCGATTTTTCCTCAAAAAATATCCCTGACGGGCCGGGTATGGTATTTAAAAATAAATTCCCGATGACTTTCGGGCCGAGGACGGGGATACGTTTCCCAGCCCCGTCCCCGGTCCGTCCTCGGCCCCGATCCCGGCCCCGACCCCGACCCCGATTCTCCCCGAAATAAAATTACTACTTTAGCCCTGTATATATATATATATATATATATAATATGCGTGTCTTTATGTTGCTCACACAATCACTTTGCTCCTGTTGGCAGAAAAATTGAGAGAGAGGGAGGGAGGCTGTTGGCGTGAGAAAAATGGAGAGAGGGAGGGAGGGTCCTCCGCCACCCGAGGGAGGGAGAGAGAGCCGATCCTCCGCCGTCGCCTCCTCCTCATCGTTCTTCGCTTTCGATCGTCCTCCTCCGCCGTCGCACTCACAGCCACCCATCGCCTGCGAATCTCCGATCGTCCTCCGTCGTCCATCGCCACTGTCGGCGACGTCGACCGTCCTCCTTCGTCCACCATCGCCTCCTCCGTTGTCCATTTCTGCCGATAGTCCACTCTCTCTCTCTCTCTCTCTCTCTCTCTCTGTGACACAAATCTCAGATCTGTTTGTATTTTTTATTTTTTTTATAATCTGTTGATGAATCTGGGGATGTTGTTGATAGGGGATGATGATAAATGATGTTGTTGTTGATTGTGTTGCTGTTGAAACAGATGGAGGGTGGGGAATCTTCGGGGTCGGGGAAACCCGATCGCCGTTGAGGGTGAGGATGGGGATGGTGGTAGGTTCCCCGTTGGGGATCGGGGCCGGGGTCGGGGAGATTTTCAAAAGCGGGGATCGGGGACGGGGAGTGCGATCCCCGGCCTGGCCCTGCCCCGTTGCCATTCCTACTAATAGTAACATGAATGGTTCAGATCATTTTAAGGTTGTGAGAGTTACATTTTGTGGGTCTCTATCATTACTAAATATATCATGATTGGTTGGATGAATTTTATCATAAAAGTTGATGCCCAGTCCTGGAAATATTGTCAAAAAGTCATTTAAAGTACATTGTTGATTAAATTAGATGCATAAAATCATCATTTTCATATGAATGTTAATCATCTTCTGCTTCTTTCTTCATTTTTTTTATTTTTTTAAATTCTAAAATTATAAATGGTATTGGAACCCAGTGATGTTTTGGAAAGATGATAAAAAGTTAATTTTTTTGATTTTTTTTTAGTTTTTTGTTATAAAAAAAGTAAAGAGGTGATATAATTCAAAAAAGCTAAAAAATTTAAAAAAAATTAAAAAGCTAATCTTCCCAGATTGCCCCCCAATGCATTGTACCAAAAAGTAGCTCAAAAGTCTCATTAAAACTGGAAAGATAATTATTCAGTAATTTCAAAATATTATATAATATTATTTACGTGGTATTTACGTAGCAAAAAAAATTATTGGTAGAAATATTGATTCATCAATGTTAGTTTTGTGTGTATTGTAATTTTTTTTATTAACGTAGAATACCACTTAACATAGACCAAGCCACCTCAGAAATATCTAATCATTTTTCCAAGCCAAAAATTACAAGCAATATAAACAATAAATGCCATGTTTGATTTCGGATTATTTCTATGAGGGGTTCAATATCATAGAATAAGAGAAAATAAGTAATATTATTTGATAATGTATGCCATTATATTTAAGAAAAATTTCAAATAAGTCATACTTTTTCTATTAATTTTTCTTTTGAGTCCTATTAATATAAGAATCAGTTGACCGAATATATTGTTAATAAGACCCAATATAATTTTTATAACAAAAATAGAACTTTTTGAGATATTACTTTATATCTATCATAATTTGAATAGGATTAGATGATGGGGAAAGATTATTTAAAACTTTTGGATGGGAAATCAATATAGTGTTAATAAGACCCAATATAATTTTTATAAAAAAAAAATAGGACTTATTTAAGATTTTTCTTTATATCTATCATAATTTGAATAGGATTAGATGATAGGAAAGGATTATTTAAAGCTTTTGGATGAGGAATAAGGATAATCCAAAGGGGATTAACTAATACCAAAAGGGTATGATTGATTACGCCTAATTTAATATCTCATACGAGAGATAAAAGATAATCTCAAATATTATTTTGTTTGAACCAAACAATGATCAATGAGATAAGAGAGACGCGGCTCTCATATATATATATATATATATAGTCTCAATTCTCCTCTCAATTGGGCAAACAATAAACATGAGATATAAAATAATGTAAAGTTTCTTACCAAATCAAGTGCTTGGAATCTTCAATAAGAAATAAGGATGGGGCAAAGACCTCTATACCAACACCCTATCCAAAAAGCCATCCACCTCTTTATTTCTCATATATTTTTTAACTTATTTTTATATTAGATTGATTTCTCTTAAAATATATATATATATATATATAATAAATCTTACATTTTTAACATAATTACATTAAGTTTCTTTAAGATTTTAATTTACATAAAAGTTAATTTTTTTTTCATAATTCATTAATTATATGATTAAAAGACGATGTATCATTATTTTTACACTAACATGCATATATATTATTTATTATTAGGTCTTAACTCTACTGAAAAGGAAAAGGAAGCCAGTGTAATTATTTTAAAATTATTGTGCTTATTGTATATATATATTTTTTCTAACCAAAAGAAACATTAAACTAATTTTTCTTTTTTTTAAAAAAAAAATATTGGATTCGTGTTTTAATAACATAAGTAATTTTAAACTGAAGTAAAAAAAAGTATATTTGACTACATAAAATTTCAGAGTTTTTTTGGTTAATAATAATTAATCAACAGTTCTACTTGCAACTAGCTTTCAAAGGTAAATTCTAGATATAATTATCTACAAATCACATGCGTCAAATAACTCCAACTTTACTGTTAATAAAAGTTGATTCTAGAATATCTATGTTTAGTTTATCAAATGATTCTTTATTTATTTGTAGAAGTTCTAAAATCAAATTTCATAGCTTATAAACGAAAATAATGATTAATTTTTTACAATATTAATTCTCCATTGAAGCTTGATTTAATCAAATATGATGTCTGAATTCAAATTTTCATCAAGAACATAGTTTCTTCTTCTATTATCATTTATCAATTTTAATAACGGAGTGTCCGAATCTATTAAATAATCCAACAATTATTAAAATAAAAAATTAAAAAAAAGAAAGATCATAGCCTCCTAAGTAATAATGATGATAAAAAAGACAAAATCACATTTATATACAAGTATGAGGTGTCATTACATAATGGAAGAGAAGAATCTTGAAAATGGATGGAAGGAAATGTAAAATAAAATAACAATAATTTAACGGGTCTAATTGCAAATACAATGATCTATTTTTATCTCCAATTTTCACTCATTCGTGTCTGAAAACCATTTTCGCTTCTCTTATAGTTGCGCAAGTAAAACTCATCCTCTCTCTCTCTCTCTCTATCTAATACTTTTCTTTGCTTCTCAAAACCCACAGAATTTCAAGAAAAACCATGTCTTCCCCGAGCAAACGCCGAGAGATGGACTTGATGAAACTGTTAATCCTCTAACTCATCTCTTACATTTTCTTGACTTAATTTGAACTTGTTTGATTTTTGTTTTTGTTTTTTGTTTTTAAAAATTAGGATGATGAGTGATTACAAGGTGGAGATGATCAATGATGGGATGCAAGAATTCTATGTACATTTCCATGGACCCAGTGACAGTAAATCTTCATGCCCATATCTCAATCAGATGCTTTCTACACCTTTTGATTGAAAATCTTGAGCTTTTTAGATGTTTGTTCTTCTGGGTATTCGCTGATTTTGCTCTTTTAACCATCGACATATATGATAAGCCTGCATATTTAGATGTTGTGATTGAAATTTTCTTTTTGACTGGTTTTCTTGATCTGGGTTTTTGATATATAGTTGTGGGATTCAATTATTTTTGCAATTGGGATATATATATTTTTTAATCCTGAGTTTTGATTTGACATAAACATGTTTGTTGGGCTTTTTAATGCCCTCAATCTTGCAGTAATTGTGTCTTTTTACTCCAACTCTAGCACTAAAAAGGGTGTTTGGTAGATATATTTGTGGGATTCAATTATTTTTGCAATTGGCATATTTCTTTATTTGTCTACCCTTTTTTTAAATTTTTTAAATTTTTTGACATGAGCATGTGGAATTTAATTTGATACAAGCATGGTTTTTTGGGCTTTTTAGAGCCTCAATCAATCTTGCAATAATTGTGGCTTTTTACTCCAAGTCTAGCACTAAATTGGCCTTTGTGAAGACTTCTAAAGGAGTTACTCATTGGTTTGTTTTAATAATTGTTTTCATATGATTGATGCAGGCTTCTTGTTTAGTTTTTTAATTGTGGTCCTAATGAATTTGCCACATTTAGTAGTTTGATGTATAGTTGAGCTGAAGCCTTTGCAATTCACATGTTTCTTTATATGTCTACCCTTCTTCTCTGGGTTTTAATTTGACATAAGCCTGGTTATTTGGGCTTTTGGTACCCTCAATTTTGCAATAATTGTGGGTTCTTACTCCACATAAGCCTGGTTATTTGGGCTTTTGGTACCCTCAATTTTGCAATAATTGTGGGTTCTTACTCCACATCTAGCATTAAATTGGACTTTGTGAATGAAGACTTCTAAAAGAGTTATTGGTTTGTTGCAATAATTGTTTTCACGCAATTGCTGCAGACCTCTTCTTTACTTGTTTGCTTATAGTCCTCAATGAATCTGCTAAATTTAGTAATGGTATGGAAATGGGTGTTTTTAACTCCAAGCATTTTTTTTTCCTACTGAATTGTCCATGGCAGGTCCTTATCAAGGAGGTGTGTGATTTAAGTCACATCATCTTATTTAAGTCACATCACCTCTCTAACACATCACTTCAAACCCAACCCAAACCCAACCCATATTTCATAAAAAGTCAAAAAGTACACTTATTTAGTCTTCCCAAACTAGGCCTTAGTAATGGTATGGAAATGGGTGTTTTTAACTCCAAGCATTTTTTTTTTTCTACTGAATTGTCCATGGCAGGTCCTTATCAAGGAGGTGTGTGGAGGATAAGGGTTGAGCTTCCTGATGCTTATCCCTATAAATCTCCATCAGTAGGCTTTATTAATAAGATCTACCACCCAAATGTTGATGAAATGTGAGTTAAAAATGTCAAGATTCTATAATTTTTCTATAATGGTTTCCACTCTGACAATCTTGGTGGATTATGTAAATACAGGTCAGGCTCGGTGTGCTTAGATGTTATCAATCAGACCTGGAGCCCTATGTTTGGTAAAATAAGTTATATTGCTGTTTTTCACTAACAAGATTCCATGGACTTCTTAAAATTAAAGGCAAAGATACCTTTCGGTTAAATAGTTAAAAATGATCTCATTGCCTGTGTTTTCCCAGATCTGGTAAATGTATTCGAAGTGTTCCTTCCACAACTTCTGTTGTATCCTAACCCATCAGACCCGTTGAATGGGGAGGCTGCAGCTCTCATGATGCGTGACAAAACTGCTTATGAGCAAAGAGTTAAAGGTATTGAACCTATTTAAAGCTATATGCACATGCATGCCTTGCAATGCCAATGTGATTTGGAAAATCACATGTATTTGTTTCTAATTATTTATGAGCAAGATTTTGACTATTGTAGGTTGTCATAGCAAACAAATGAAAGTTTAGGTGCAGCCCTTAAAGTCTTGTTTGTATGTAATTTATGTTTCTCAAGAGGGTAAAGTTTCTTGTGTGGAATATAATTCAATGTATACATAGGAAAATAAATACGAGAATTAGGAGGATGATGAATCCATCGTGAAAAACCTAAGTGATTCGTGATTCGAAATAAATTTAATTGTAACAATTTCCAATCAAACAAAACTAACAATCTAAATCATCTAGCACGTACAAAAGTGATTTAGATTGTTGTTTCACAATTAATCAATTGACAAACGATTTTTATGTGAAAAAAATCATAGTTGGAGCACCTCCAATCGTGATAAAAAAACCACGGGCGAAACGCCATTAATCAATCCACTATGAAGAATGAAATTACACAAGATTACCAAACAATTTACCCTACATTCTGTAAAATTGTCTTCAACAACTTGTGCCTCTTTCACCAACACCTTCGTCTCAGAATTGATTAGTTTGATGTTGAATCCACAACATCCATGCTGAATCTACGACAACAAGCCGCTTCAAACTCCTTCATAGCCTTCACGCTCCGATCTTCAGAATCCACCGAACAAGAACTCTTGTATTTGAATGATCAACCATTCTTTTGATGTAAACAATTTAGTTCATGAGATAACCTCAACAGGACATCAAAGGAAACAAGCAAAAACCTCCAGAGAGAAACCCTAGCCTTTAAGAATATGCTCTGGAAGATCTAACCTGTGGAGAAATGGTTTTGGAAATACTCTTCTGATCCTGGGAGACGCTAGTGATCCTCTTCTAGTCACCTGAAAAGGAATAAACACTCCAGTCGAGGGTGCCGGAATTAGCACTCCAACGGGCAAGTCAGTCTTTACACTCAAGTTTACTTGTATTCTAAATTAAGCACAATAATTCTCACATACTTCTTGCTGGCTGATATTCTTCTATTTATATCCTTTCTCTCTTGGGCCTCGGGATTAGGCCCACTTTCTGTTCGTCATTCGGCTTCCTTTGTAGCAAATTGCTTTTTACTCGGCCCTTGCCCTATTCGGCTATTTGACTGAATAGGGTAGGATTTGGATGTGGGATGAAGCCGAATACTATACATACATTCCAGTTCTCCAAGTTCATATACTCGGCCTATTTACGACCCCCATTATTCGGCCCCCACAATTGCCTCCCAAATATTCCACTAATGATGGTTGGAGTGTTTGGTTTCGAACTCGAAAAGTCAGAACCGAATGTCTAAACACACGCTTCTCGGTCATCATTTCAACTTCCCGCCCCTTCGTACTCCTACTTATAATGATTTAAAATTTTGACGTCTTTTCAAATACACACGCTTTCAGATACTTGCCGCTGGACTGTCTTCTGCGTTATCTCTGCAACTTCCTTTCCTTCACTATTCTCTTCGTCTCTCGTAAGTTCTCTCCCTCTCAGTTCTAAGTCCTTTTGCCTGGTTTGTTTTTGGTTTCGAGCATTCGTGTAAACTGTAGGAAATGGCAAAACACCTGAAAGATCTCCTTTCTTCGGATCGAATTTTTGGCTTCCGACGCCATTTTCCATTCCTGATGACGTCCGTCTGTCATTCGTGATAGACGGCACCCTCGATATGGGGAGGGCTGATGAATCCACGATCGTCTTCTCTCTCCTATCAATCACACAGGGTGGAGTCTGATTCCCACTTCATCCACTCCTTAGAGCTGTGCTCTGCCATTGGGGTTTAATTCCTTCCTAACCCAATGTTAATTTTTTTAGAATCGTAATGGGGATTATCGTACTAAACCGCCGCCTTAGGATTAACCTAGGCATACCTGCTATTCGGCATTGTTACGCCTTGGCGAATTTTGGTCGGTATGGGCGTTACTTCCTTAGGGCCAAGGACACCGACCATCAACTAGTGACTATGCTTTCCAACTCTGGGAAGCGAGTCGATGATATTATGGTTGTTGTCTAAGGTAATTGGGAATTCGGCGAAGGCGAGGATCGCCTCAATCCTATTCCTAGACGGAGGGGCGAACCAAGTGGCCGTGTAGCTTCTTTTATTTATTTTTTGTAATATTCATAAAGCTTCGTTTTCGAGACCTCATGGCTTTGCTTGCGTAGGGAACGATTTGAAGAAAGTCCTGACTTCAACCGACGACGTCGTTCTTTCAGAAATCAAGGTTGCGCTCAGATATTTCGGCTGGCCGAGTCTTCAGAAACAGGGGAGGGCGGCCTATGTTCTTCTCCGCTACGAGCTGACTTATATGACCTTCTCGGCAGCAGAGAACATCCCAGTTCCGAAGGGTGAGGAGTTTCTTACCGCCCTTATTCTGACCGATTTCAAGAATTTGAGGCAAGTCGGTCTTGAGGGGTCCAATTCGGAACGACCAGAAGTAGCTGAGGTTGCCGAGTCCGATCAGTCCGGAACCGAAGACGAGGCTTTGCATTTAGCCTTTGAGGAAGCCGGCCTCAACTTAGCCGACCCTCCGTCAACTTCGGGCCGAGAGGACCTTGCACTCGACGACATTTTTCACGGTCTGGAGGACCTTCCCGGTGCTTACCCCGAAGATATGGCTGGGTTAAGCCTCACACAACTTGCCAAAAAGGCGAACGTGGAAAGGATGGCAGCACGACGAAGGGCAGAGGCTATTAGAACCGGAGTGCTTCCTGCTATCGAAACTCAGCCTTCCCTGCTTGTTAGCAAATTTCAGCTCTCCTTGCCTGTTATTGAGGAGGGGACGGCAGAAAACCGAAGTGCTGAGGCCGAGTTGGTTGTGCAGGCCGATCGAGAGGCTGAACTAAGGGCAGAGAGGCGCTCTGCCGAGGTTGAGGTCGGCTCAGAAGATAATTGCGCCGTCAAACGACCTCGTTTAGAGGAATCAGATGTGATCGTGCCTTTTGTTATTCAACCGAAGATAAAAAACACGTCGATCCCTTCCGATGCTTCAGTAATTAAAGATCTAGCAGTCGCGCTTAGCATGGCTACATCCGTTTCACTGTCGGCTGACAAGGCGGTTTTTCGGGCGGAGCCGGATTTGGTTTCAATAGCATTGGCCGCTCAATCGGCACTTTTGGTATAAATCTTGAGCTTGTTTTTTCACTTTATGCAAATACTATTTTGGTCTTAACTTCCTGTTTTGCAGACCGTCGGAAGGATAGCAGAGATGGGCCGTCGCCATCATGACGCCATCGAACAGCTCGACCGTCTTCAAACGGAAGTTAAGGGCCAAAGGATCAGGGCCGAGTTTGAGGCTTTAAGGGCGAAGATGGAAGGCGCGTTGGCCGAAGCCGAGATGGAGAGGGCATGGAATGCGGAGGAATTGAGATTAGCCGCCGAGAGGAGGGTGGACGCGAGCGAGGGGGCGCTGAAATTGTCCCAGGAGGCGGTCTCTAAACTGGAGGCTGAGTTGGAGGAAGTAAAGAAGGCGAAGGAAGCGGCCGACTCGGAGGCTTCTAAGGCATTAGAGGCCGGGAAAAGTGCTGCCCTTGCCGAATATGTAGACGAAGTCTCCAAATTTGAAAATCGGGGATTCAAACACGGCTGGCTCAAAGCCCTTGCTGCTGCTGATGTGACATTGGCTATGCCAATTCCATACGAGCAAGTGGACATTGAGCCGCTGGAGTTTGACTCTGAGGATTAATTTGGGCGACACCTTTTTTGCTTGCTGTTTTAGGAGTTTTCGAATGTATTTTTACAGCTTTTTGTTTGGTAATTTTCATGTGTAAAATGGCTACAATTTGTGTCCAATTTCCTAATGAAAATTTTCTTTTTTGCCTTGCTGTTATTTGTGCTAGCTTTTTGTTATTGATGAATGATATTGCTGTTGATTGCAAGATGGCTACACTTTGTTTTTAATACCAGTATCGATCGGCATTAGGCATAAACACTTGGCCGATTAGATTAATAAATCTGCCCTTGCCCTAGCACACGAGCTTCATTAGCCGAATAGGCCTAGATCGTGGAATGGCTGCGGCATAAATCTATCGGCATCGGGCTTAAATATTTGGCCGATCAGATTAATAAATCTGTCCTTGCCCCAGCCAGTGCATGAGCTTCATTAGCTGAATAGGCCTAGTTCCTGGAATGGCTGCAGCATAAATCTATCGGCATCAGACTTAAATACTTGGCCGATCAGATTAATAAATCTGCTCTTGCCCCAGCCAGTGCACGAGCTTCATTAGCCGAATAGGCCTAGTTCGTGGAATGGCTGCGGCATACATCTATCGGCATCGGGCTTCTGGCGTTTGGCATTAATGACGTCGCCTCGGGGGCGCTGCATACATACAAATAAATGGGGTGAGTTCGCGCCAGTGAGTCCATTTATTTTTGTTTAGACTCAATTTGAACTAGCTTGGGGCGAGGGTGAATGTCAAACAGACTGTTTTTCAACAACAAAGGAGAAGGACAAACGCTGGTTGAGCTAGATACTGCGATGAATCGCAGCAGCGAGTCTACGCGCACGGGAGGAAGGACGTCCAAGGAAAGGGAAAAACGTCAACCTCCAAGCCGTCAAAGCAGATCACCTCGAAGAGAGAAGCAGCAACGGGGAAGCTCCCTGCGACCACGACCGAGGAATGAGCCAGACGTGACGCCATGACCATTGAGTTTTGCGGTGTTCGTGGGGAATAAACCGATGACTGAGACAGATTCCATCGTTAATGATCCGGGTGTAGCGGTCGAGTTCGCTCGACAGATCTTTCCACCGGAAGTCCAACAATCGATGGTTGGACGACAAGATTTCGAAGTGTTTCAAGAAGGTATCCATAGGGCGGTGAAGGGGCTGTACACTGCCTACGAAGTCGGCATGCGCCTGCGCACCGCGCGGCGGGAGATAGAGAAAATAGACGAACGGATCCGCAGTTCGGGGGCTTGTGCGGAGAAAGCTGAGCGTAAGCTT